ATCTTATTTTTTATATTTTTTTTTTTATATCTCTCCCCTTCAATAACATAATCTTCATGCTATTTTATTTTAATTTTTATATTTATCTGACAATTTTGAAATAAAAGGAAAGAATTCTTGCCCATGATTTAGACATAAAAAACTATATTTTTTTATTAAATTTATATAATTGTATCATCTTTTAAAATGATATAAAATATTAAAATATATATATTTTACTAAATAAAAATTAATTTATTATTAATAAAAATAATTAAATTTCTGTGCATTACACGGATAAATCGACTAATTACCATTAAACTATACAACTTTTGTATGTTATGTTTTGTAATATACAATTTTATTTCTATTATTTTTTATCTTAAATTATGTTAATTATATAATTTTTAGTTTTTATATAGACCCATTTAACCATTTTAGCAAATAACTCTATATTGTTTACTAAACCATCAAGTATCTGTCGACACTAGTTCGATGATCGATTTGGTGGAATATTAAAACGCTACCATTTTTTAATCTTCATTTTTGTAGTATCACACTACTAAAATTTCTCTTATTACATGCGACTTTTTTTTTTTGCAGGTAATACCTTCGTGGATAATATATTTTTACGAATTCGCAGGAAAGTTTCCTAAAAAAAAATTTTACAGGAAAGTTTCCTGCAAATTTTTTAGCAAGAAATTATGCAGGAATATTTTTTACGAAAAAAATTAAAGAAATTATTATAAAATCTATCAATAATTCTTTAACTTTCAAATGCTCACAATGAATTCATCCGAAACATTTGTTTTCAATTTCCATACCTCCAACATGTGATACAATCTTTTAAATTCTAAGATTGTAGATTATAAGCCTAACACTCAACCATACAAATCAACTTATAAGGTAAGTCTTACCCCAACTTATATACTCTTTAATTATTTTATTTTTAATCGATGTGGGACTTGAAGTTTTTTTAAAATATTAAACATAAATTTAAATATTTTTTTTATTTTTCCTGCGGATTAAAATTTGCAGGAAAATTTGCAAGAAAAGTTACTTGTAAAATTTTTCTACCATTTAGTAAACATTACTTGCGAATTTATTTTTGCAAGTAAATTTGCAAGAAACAAAATAAAATTCTTACAATATTTTTTGCAAATTTTTACCATGGAAATTTTTTTTTATGATTATTAAAATTGTAACAAAATTTGTAAGAAATATCTATAAATTATTTTTCGCAAATAAATTCACAAAAAAAATTTACGAATATTTTTTGCAGAAAAATTTACAAAAAATTTCTGCGAATATTTTTTTGCAGGAAAATTCGCAAAATAATTTTGTGAATATTTTTTTTGCAGAAAAATGACACTTTTCTAGTAGTGTCATTTTAACTTAAAACTACATAAAATTTTTACACAAAAAAATATAATAATTATTCTTATTTCTCTTTTACTACTTTTAGCATTTTTTTCTTTCACGTACGATAATTAAAAGAGATACAGGTATCTCTATTCCCACTAACTGCTTTCACTTTTAAAAAAAAATAATTAAGAGGGAGGTTTCTTTTTCTTTAATAAAAATAAAGATAACTAATATTAACGTGTTGAAATATGTTTGGTGGTGTAAGCCTCTTCGTTTTTAGCCGTTTAAATGATTGAATTTTATTTTTCTTGTGTTTTATTATATTCTTTTGCTCAGACTTGCTCTGATCTAAACTTTCATTAAAAAGATAATTAGTAAATAAATAAATAAAAAGAAACACGTGTTTGGCGGTGCGTCAACTCTATAGGTCCGAGTTACATGAAAAACGGGGATGCAATCAATTAAATACGCTATGAATATATTCACATTATGGATTTGCAAGAATGTGGAACATCAGGCATATAAATACTTGTGGTGGGTGGTGATTACTTACCAATTACCATCCATATGATTCAATCATCTATTTGCATGATCATGGATGTCTTTCCTTCTAATGTTAAATTTGTTTTGCTTTGGTTACTATGTACATTCATGTTCAACTCCGTTACATGCAGTTTGAAGGTTCATTGCAACGAGAAAGACGTGCACATACTCCTACTCTTCAAAGAAGGAGTCACAGATCCTTCAGGCTTCCTCTCTTCATGGATCACTCAACAACATTGTTGTCAATGGACAGGAATTAAGTGTGACAGCATCACAGGCAGAGTTACCGAGCTCAATCTCCCTTGTCATGCAGGAGACAAGGACCACAAATCACACTGCCTATCAGGTCAACTCAACCTATCTCTGCTTGAACTTCAATTCTTAAGCTACTTGAATTTGAGCAATAATGCCTTCAAGGGTATCCAACATAATCCAAAATGTGTTAATATGTCAAGAGACGCACGTTCTCATCACTGTACAAACTCGTCCAACCTCCAAGTTCTTGATTTGTCATATAATCGTGATATTCTCATTGATAATCTCCATTGGATTTCCCATCTTTCTTCTTTGCAATATCTTAACCTTGATGGAGTTGATCTTCACAAGGAAATTAATTGGCTTCAATCCGTCACCATGCTCCCTTCACTTTTGGAGCTACACATGGAGAGTTGTCAACTTGAAAATATCAATCCATCTATTCAGTATGCTAATTTCACTTCACTTCAAGTTCTAGATCTTGCTGATAATATTTTTTTATCTTATGAGTTGCCCACTTGGTTATTCAATCTAAGTAGTGACATTTCTCATATTGACCTTAGCCAAAATCAGATACATGGCCAACTGTCTAATATGTTGTCAAATATTAGAAGCATTAAATTCTTGAATTTGTCTTATAATGCTCTCAGTGGACCTATTCCAAACTGGATAGGACAACTTGAACAACTACAAGAACTTGATCTTTCTCACAATTCATTTTCTGGCCCAATTCCCACAAGTTTGGGAAATCTTTCATCCTTGGTTGTATTGAAACTCAACTTAAATAACCTGAATGGAAATCTTCCGGAAAGTTTTGGGCAACTCTGCAACTTGGAGGTCCTTACAGTTGCTGATAATTCCTTAACAGGAATTGTGTCTGAAAGAAATTTAAGGTCTCTTTCAAAGTTAAAGCACTTGTACTTGAGCTCACCAGCCTTAATATATGATTTTGATCCTGAATGGATCCCTCCTTTTGACCTTCAAGGTGTGTGGCTAGGATATGTGGGTGGCAAACTTCCTTCATGGCTATTTACCCAAAGTTCTCTCAGAACTCTAATCATTACAGACTCAACTGCTTCATTTGAACCTCTTGACAAATTTTGGAACTTTACTACTCAACTTGAATTTTTGTCTTTATCTAATAACTCGATCGGTGGGAACATGTCAAATGTGTTGCTAACCTCCAGAATTGTTTGGTTGACTTCCAATAATCTGGGAGGTGGCGTGCCTCGATTGTCACCAAATGTGGTTCTCTTGAATTTAGATGGTAACTCTTTGTCTGGATCCATTTCTCCTCTTTTATGCCACAAGATGACAGAAAAAAGCAATCTTAAGTCCTTAGACTTGCGTTATAATCTTTTATCCGGAGAACTCACAGATTGTTGGAATAACTGGGAATCATTGGTTCGTGTTAGTTTGGGGAACAACAACCTAACAGGCAAGATTCCTCACTCCATGGGATCATTGTCTAACCTTCTTTCATTGAATTTGAACCGCAATAACTTGTATGGAGACATACCTTTGTCTCTTAAAAATTGCAAGAACCTATTAATCCTTGATCTTGGTAACAACAACTTTTCTGGAGCTGTGCCAAGCTGGATGGGGCAGTCTCTAGAAACTCTTCAACTAAGATCCAATCAATTCAGTGGCAACATTCCCCCTCAGATATGCCAACTTAATTCTCTAATGGTGATGGATTTTGCAAACAACAGCTTATCAGGACCAATACCCCAATGCTTACATAACATCACAGCCATGCTTTCTGATTCAACTTCAACTTATGAGATAAGATTTCGCGTTGAAACAACCGATTCAATAATGGATTTTGTATTTCCTGTGGGTTTGCTGATAAAAGGAAGTGAATTAATATATAAGGACATGGTCTATGTTATTGATCTTTCAAGTAACAGTTTGTCAGGAACCGTGCCTTCAGAGATATTTATGCTCACTAGATTACAATCCTTGAATTTGTCCCGTAATCAATTAGTGGGGACAATACCAGAAAAGATTGGCAACATGAAGCAGTTGGAGTCCATTGATCTCTCAAGCAATCGTTTGTGGGGAGAAATTCCTCAATCCATGTCCGGTTTATCTTTTCTTGGTGTCTTGAACCTGTCTTTCAACAATTTTATGGGCAAAATCCCATCAGGGACTCAACTTCAGAGTTTTACAAATCTTAGCTATATGGGTAATCATCAACTTTGTGGACCTCCACTTACAAAGATCTGTCCAGAAGATGAAGAATCCAACAACACAAAACCGATAGTAGAAGATGAAGATGATGATTATACATCTGCAGTTCATTCATGGTTCTATATGGGTTTGGGAATTGGATTTGCAGTGGGGTTTTGGGGAGTTTTGGGAGCCATTTTCTTCAACAGGAAATGCAGGCATGCCTATTTTAGATTTCTTCACCGACTATATGACATGCTGATCCAAATATAAGAAATTGCAACTGCGGTAAGCAAAGAATTTTTTTTATTGAACTTTTACATCAATCTTTTTTTTTCTTTTCTTTTTGTCTTATTTTTTGAATAAACTAACTTATTACTTACCCTTGCATTCTCTATGTACGTAATTTGCAGGTCCTTGATGTTCATCCTTGGACTACCTATCTCACCCACAGGTTTACAAGAGCCACAACGTGGCATGCATTATCGACCACATATATATCAATAATAATAAACTTGGACCAATAATTTCATGTTTCTATTTATCAAGTTACTTTGCCTATTGCAAATAGTTATGTTTCCTCGGTTAGATCTCTGCTCTGTGGTAAAGTTGTATCGTTTCTTTACACTAGACTGTGACAAATATAAATATATATATATATATATATATAAATTATAATTATCCCGGTGTAACTTTTATTAAGTATTACATCACTTAATAATTTTATATTAATTGTGAATCTTCTAAATTCAACCATTAGATTAAAATTTCATATCAATCGTTAATTTAAAAATTATTTGATATTTCGTTTCATTAATTCAAATTAATGAATAATCATAAAAATATTTTATACGTTGATTTAAATTAATGAAATTGTACTATTCGTACTGCGTAACCGAGTTCCGAGCTCGACACCACAACGCAAGCCGACCTCGGACGCGCACCGCGTGACATCAGCTCGGCATTTAAGTGAATCATAACTGATTCCCGAGGATCTCGCCCCAGACGAGGTCCGTTATCTAATCATATTACATCTCATCTCAGGCCCAAGGTGCAAAGCAACCCTAAATCACACCAAGGTACGTGCATTACATATACGAGACTAATACTCACACAAACACTAACTTTAGCATCGGAGTCTCTTTTGTAGATATCACCCCCATCTTGGAGCACCAGCGTACCAGTGAAGGAGGCTCACCGATCTTACCTGGCGAATCACCTCTACGGCAGATTTCCGATAAAAACAGAAATAAAGTATCAAATAATTATTTTTAAAAATTTATAAACTTAATTTATATATTAAAAAATTTTAATTTAACAACTAAATTATTAAAATTTAACATTATCCATAAATTATTAACTAGAGAAATTTTATCAAAAGTTACTCTTAAAACTTCTTTTCTCTCTACATATATATAAAGATGCTTTTATACCAAATCCTATTTCAGCATATGAGCCAAAGCATAAGTAGGAATACTTATTAATCTCCAGCAGCTATTTTTTGAATTCTGCTTCATCATTTATAATACATTAATTTTGACATCAACCTTCAGCTAGCATAAGCTACTCATTATATGTTTAAAAGTATTATTCATTAAATTACACAGTCGTCAATGAGTTCGTTGTTAGTGTCTCTGAACAGCTATCCTTTGCAAAATTTAAAAGGGGAAAAGGGTGGGGAAGAAAACAAAATCATAATAGATTTGCAGTGAAATGCAGTGGTACATTTATAAGGCAAAGAATGTAATGTATACGATAAACAAAGCTGTTTGATATAGTCTGAAATTCAATGCACGATGGCAGTGACTTTTTCTTGGTGTCATATTAAACTACTGGTTTATAGGCCAGTTGACAAAGAAAACAAAAACAACAGCAAAAGTCAAATAAAATAAAATAAAAAAACAAAAGTATAAATAAAGAAAATCAGCAGTGCCGCCAAAGCTAGCTGTAGGGTAAAAGGGTGAAATCTGAATAATTGGATGACATTATTATATTGCCCTTGCTTTTATGATATCAAAGCTCATCTCACTAGAATCCGTTGCTTGCAACTCAACTTGAATGCCATCAAGTTCCCTCTTGAATCTGTCCTTGGAGCTGGCATACACCATCTTTTCTCTCACCTTTGATGTATCCGGAGCCCTAAATATGAGAAACAAGGAAGTAAAAACAAATATATGATAGCAAATTCAGTAGAGTTATTTTCCTTTGTAATATGACAGTGTCATAGATATGAACAAACTACGACTTTAGTATGTATGCTGCGTACAGGAAGAGAGGGGTAGGAAATTACCATGCAATGAAAAAAATCTTGCTTTTTTGGCAGTTTTCATCAGTGGTGAAATCAAAATCAAAGACAGCATAACGGCACTCATTGGCAGGTAGAGCGGCATTGAAGTCCTCATAGGTTTCTTCTGGGCTTCCAAGCTTCTCCACTACCACTTCAAAGTTCTCAATCTTAAACACAATGAAACGGTAGTTCCTCTTTGCCTTCAGCTCTTGGAACTTTAATTTACACTGATCAGTAACAGCCATTCCAGATGCCGCGTTCGCCTAAAAGCATTTTTGGCAACCAAGAGAAATGCATCAGTATGAATTCATATGCAAATAAATAGGTTGGTTACGTCACATTTTATTGCCAACTCCAACACATAAAACAAGACTTTGGAAAGGAACACAAAAAAAATAACTTAATCCTATTCGTATGAAACTAGTAGAAGTATTCGTGTTAGTCCCATACGAAATTTTAGGTACGCTTTCCATAAAGACTAAAACTTCCCCCTGTAGCAGATCTAGCAAAAAAAATTCTAGTTCTGCACCAATGAATCAATGTGCTTGCAAAAAATTTATAGAAACAGATTAACAATTTTAAAAATTAAAAAATTAGACACATCCAACGGAGCTATAAGCATAGAAATAACATCATTTGTGCCACTATATAACGCATTTTATGGAATTGTTCGCATTGACCTTCGCAATGTGTACAGATAGGCATCATTAAGGTCAAATGAATATTTGTCGATGAAAAAAAGAATGTTGGATGTAATTTACATATTGCTCTGTCTAACCTGCCATTTCCTTATTCAATAAAAAATTGGTTATCCTGTAGATCTTATTATGCATCAAGAAGCATAATATATCGTAGAGGGTTAGCGACACAGAGAACGTACCATGTTGTCGCGATTGATAGAGAAAGCCTATGGAGAAATGAGAAAGAAAGGAATTGGGAAAGAGACAGAGGAAGAGATCCTTATTTTGGGTGGAGGCAAATGGCAATGAGAGCATTGAGACAAAAACGGAGAAGCAAGAGAATTTTGAGGAAGGAAACAGAGGTTGACATCTCTCAAAAACTTTAATGGGTGATAATATCCAATCCACCAAGGAACAACGTACCCATGCATTGCACGTACTGTTAATTCTAGCCAACCATGCTCTATAAAGAACACTTAAATCTGTTAAAATTAAAAACAAGTTTGTATACACATTTTTGTTCATTTTACAATATATTTTTAAACTCCTATTATAATTTGTGAAACAGTATTGCTACAATTTTAATTGTTAAACTTTTTTGCATTTTTGACAAAAGTTAAACTAATGCTTTTAATTTAAAAATACAATCTCTCACATAAAAAAAAGCCGTTCGAATCAACAACAAAAAAATTCATTTGACCTTATAAAATGTAGTTCAGAACAAATATTAGAAAGATTGCAAACTCTCTTAAAATGTTGGTGACAACATAGAGATGGATGCAGTTTTAACCGGGCAAAATCTACATACTTAACTCTATATTTTATAATTAAAAATAAAAAAATTTAATGAATATACAGCACCATAGAATTAAAACAGCAAAATCCTGTACCTTGAGGTCAACATCATTTTGTTTTATTATTTTAAGAGTGAGTTGTCATATCATACGCAGTTCTCATTCATCAATTTATAAAACTGCAGCTCGAAGGCAACATTGAAGAACTTTTTAGGTATGCGGTCATCGATTGCCAAATTAGTAACTAACTAAATTTGACCGACCGACATATTAATAATGAAAAAAAAAATCATAAACAAAAAGTTCATATCAGATAATATTGGAGCCATTTCTCGCAGTCAACTTATAACTTATTCACCACAAATCTTTATGATTTATGATAACAATAAAATCATTGCACGCAAACCCAATGTAAAAAAGTAATACAAAAAAGTATACGAAAGAACATTTCAGTTACAGAGAATTTTAAAATAAAAAATTGGAAACCATGTCCACCAGACATGAAATAGAATCGTCAAAACTTCAGGCCAAGGAACCGAGATGCGTGTGCAATTGACTTGGGAATCATCCGAAAGACCATCCCAGCCCCCATATTAAACCTCGGCAAGAGGTTCTTCTCTAGCTTCCATCCACTGCTGCTAAAAATAATGGAGAACTGAGTTGTCAGACATAATAGATCAGAAGAAAACAATGCCAGAAGACACATGAATACGAGAATTATGAACAGATTATTCAGAATCAAAAGAAAGTAATGCCATGAATCATTTTTACCAAATTAATTCCAAAGCAGAGAATATGAAATTGGAATTTACTTTCCATTTCTGCAAAAGTGGTTGCAGAAAACATGAACAAAAATTTGCCAAAGAGAACTTATACACATGTTTGAACATGTATCTGAAGTCCAAAATTTTAATAATCATGAACAAGTGTCCTTCATATGTCTGTCAACGGACTAAACCTCGACCAAAAATCTATGACAGTAACTAAGAACACTTGCAATTGCACTGATGAGATTGGATCAACACAAGCATGGCAGAAGTATTATCCATTTCCACCCGCAGAAAGCTTGTGAATAAATATTTTCCCGGGTATTCTATGAATAAACATAATTTTAATAACATCCAGGTAGATGCTTATTTTTTAAAAATGATGCAACGTACATCCCATTTGGAAGATCCAAGCATCACCCAAAAATATAAACGTCTAACTAAAGTACTAAACCAAATCAACAATGTCCATTTCAAGATGTTTCAAGACATAAAATAGATATATAATTTAAAACAAGATTCTGAAATTCCAGGGTATTCTCAGAACATCATAGATATACATGAAATACAAATAATATCATAAACAAAAATAAATAAGGACATTAGACCAAGTTTATTGTTGAAAGACTTACTTCTGTTGATAACCCCATCGGCTGCAACCACCTAAGGAATAAAATTGTATGAAAGGATTAGACTTAGAATGATGGGGAAATGTTGGGATATCGAATCCAGAGTATCCATACACTTAAAATATTCCAGGAAAAAAGAAAAATCAATACAACACAACAATTGTGTAAAATCCAAAATATTAAAGAACCTTCTGATCAATTCCATGACCATTTCGAGGGCAGTTATAGCTGAAGTGTCTATCTTCATGACAGAATAAGCAATTAGCAAACATTGCTCGCTCTGCATCACCAATGAAACAATTTTGAATCATAAGATAGCAGATGAAAGAAAGTAAAACCTGTTACATTACATATTTGTGCTTATATTGTAACAGAGATAGAACGTATCTATACAAGTTTCAGGGGAGTAGATTGCAAGTCCAAAGAAAGAATGAATATTCCGTAGGTGTGTTATGTCAAATTTTAAACATCTTAAATAAGGAATCTAATTATCTATTGTAAGAGAATGGCTACAAATCTGAGCTAATGGAGCAAAAATCAAAATGTTTATCACTCAGATAAGATCTCACTGATTACCTATAATAACATAAACATTTACCAATTGTCCATGCATTACTGTTATTTATGTGAACTTCAATTGAAAACTGTATAATTAACAATTTTCATATAACATACAATTTTGACAATTCTAATATTAAAAATTGAAACTGAAAATTAAAGCATTTCATGAAAAGCATGAAAATTTTAGCATACCTGCTCGAGCCGCATGGCATTTTCCAAGTGAATGTCCAATTTCCCCACAAAAGAAGCAAATTTCCTCATTATTGGATAGATTTCTCAGTCTGGGGCATTGTTGGAATTTGTGACCCAGCTGTCGGCATGCCTGGCATCTCTGGACACACCAAGTTACTATTCAGTATTTACATACTACAATGGGCTAATTCTAATAATAATAATATTAACTTCAAATGGAGCCTTTAGGAACAGTCTACAATTATTCCAGGCTAGAGCAACATAGAATACAACCACGGAAACTAGATATATGGATCCTGCTACATACCTTAGAATTTTCAGTAGTGGGTCCTCCAGTTTTCCGAACACGGGCTTGTACTGGGGTTGCTCGGCTAGTTGGAATTTTTGGGTCTATTGAGGGTGCTGGGTCTTCAGTTTTCTGAACTGGGGTTTCAGTGGTTGGATTCGCATTGTGTTTCTTAGATTCTAACCCTTCATTTTTTAGTGAACTCTTCGATTTCTTCTTTTTCTTGGTCATCTGTTCTGGGTCTAATGGGGTTGATTGGTTAGTTGAAATTGTTGGGTCTACTAAGGGTGCTGAGTCTTCAGTTTTTTGAACTGAGGTTTCTGTGCTTGGATCAGCATTGTGTTCCTCAGATTCTAACCCTTCATTTTTTAGTGCATTCTTCCTTATCTTCTTTTTCTTGGTCATGAGTTCTAGGTCTACTGGGGTTGCTTGGCTAGTTGGAATTGTTGGTTCTATTGAGGGTGCTGGATCTTCAGTTTTCTGAACTGGGGTTTCTGTGGTTGGATTAGCATTATGTTTCTCAGATTCTAACACTTCATTTTGTAGTGAACTCTTCCTTTTCTTCTTTTTCTTGGTCATCTGTTCTGGGTCTAATGGGGTTGATTGGCTAGTTGAAATTGTTGGGTCTACTGAGGGTGTTGAGTCTTCAGTTTTTTGAACTGAGGTTTCTGTGCTTGGATCAGCATTGTGTTTCTCAGATTCTAACCCTTCATTTTTTAGTGCACTCTTCCTTTTCTTCTTTTTCTTGGTCATCTGTTCTGGGTCAACTGGCGATGCTTGGCTAGTTGGAATTGTTGTGTCTATTGAGGGTGCTGCTATAGGATATAAAGATCTCTGAACTGGGGTTCCAGGTGGCTCAGCATCATGTTTATTGAGTTCTGCCCCTTCCCTTATAAGGTCGCTCCTCTTCCTCTTTTTCTTGCTTGTCTTCTGACCTTGGTCTATTGGGTTTGCTGTGTCTTCTGGGGGAGCTGAAACTGAGATAATTGGGTCAATTGAGGGTGCTACTATAGGATATACAGAATCTTGAACTGGGGTTTCAGGTGGCATGCCAATGGGTTCATTGGGTTCTGCTCCTACACTTGTGAGCTCACTCCTCTTTTTCTTCTTCCTCTTTTTCTCAGTCATCTTCTGACCTAGGTCTAATGAGATTTCTGTGTCTACAGGGGGAGCTGTGCCAATTGGGATGATTGGGGGGTCAATTGAGGTTGCTGCTATTGGGTATATAGATTTCTGAACAGCGGCCTCAGGTGGGGCTTCAAGCAGCTTGTCATTCTGTTCGATGGGTTCTGCCCCTTCAATTTCTAGCGCACTATTCTTTTTCTTCTTCATTTTTTTCTTTGACATATCCTGTACTGGGTCTGTTGAGATTGCTGGGCAAATTGGGATTACAGGGCAAGGGTCCATTGGAATTGCTGGGTGTATTGAGGGTGTTGCTATAAGGCATGTAGCTGTCTGAATTGGGGATTCTGGCTGTTCTGTATCGTGTTTACTGTTATTAGGTTCTTCCCCCTCCTTTTGCTTCTTCCTCTTTTTCTTCTTCATCTTCTGATCGGTGTCTATTGGATTTGCTGGATCCACTGGGATTGTTTGGTCTGTCAGGAATGCTGGTTGTAGGCATATTGGGGTTGCTGGGTTTTGTTGGACCTGGTTTGGTGCCTGGTTGAGGGCTATGTCCACATGCAATGGGCTTCCTTGGTTCTCCACCTTCTCTTCTGAGCACATTATTTTAACTCTTCCTCTCTTACTTTTTTGTTTTCTTCGGCTCTGGTCAACTGGAGTTGTTGGATCATCCAGAGGCTCTGCACTAGGTGTAGAGCAAGGTTGAGGTTGAGCAAATACTTTACTTGGCTCCACCACTTTTTTCTTTTCTGGGTTAATTGGAGTTGGCAGGTCTGTTGGGGGTACTAGTTTAGGTTCCGAACACACTTGAGGATGCTCTAGCCTAGCTTCAGTTGGTTCTGCCCCTTTTTTCACGTCTGAGTCATTTGGGAATGGTATGCCTAACATAGGTGCCAATTCAGGTTTGGGGCAGACTGGAAAGTTCTCAGCATTGGCTTCTGACTCTTTCTTCATCTTAATTTTCGGTTCCGAGTCTGGGGGGCATTGTTGAAGGTTCTCTGTATTGTTGGCCTCCTTTGATTCTGGTTCTGGTTCGGCCCCTAGAGGCTTAAGCACATTCTTCTTTTTCCTAGACTTCTTTATCTGGGGAGTGTCTTCTGGGGTTGTTGCATCCGGGACAGGACATTCTTCATTTATTCCTGAGACCACAGGTACATATTTAGAGCAAGGTTGAGGTTGAGGATGTTGTGCATGTGCTTCACTTGATTCTGGCTCTTTTTTCTTTTCAAGGTTCATTGGCACTGGCAGGCGTGTTGGGGATGCCAATTCAGGTTTGGAACCTGCTAGAGGATGCTCTACATTAGCTTCAATAGATTGTGCCGTTTTTTTGAGTTTTAAGTCACTAGGAATTGCTATGTCGGATGGGGGTGCCAATTCAGGATTAGGACACACTCGAGATTGCTCAGCGTCATCTTCTGCCCCTTCTTTCATCTTATTTTCCAGGTCTGGGACTAGGGAGCTTAGTTCTGGGTTCTCAATATTATTGGACTCCACTGGTTCAGCCCCTTTAAACTCAAGCACATTCTTCTTTTTCCTCGTCTTTTTCCTGGGAGTGTCTTCAATGGGCTTTGGATCAGGTACATCTGGTTGGTTACATGTCTGAAGTTGTTGTGCACCTGGCATGTTCTTCTTCTTTTTCTGAAAGGTTGGGTTAACATTCTGTGCAGTTCTTTCAGCATTTTCGTCTTGCTGTACAATTGGGATTGGTGTGTCTAATAAGGCTTTAGAGCATAAATCCCCATTTAAATCAGCATCACTTGGTTGTGCTCCTTCTTCCTTCATAATGTTGGGTTCCACACCTATTAGGATTGAAGGATCACATGCTTGTGAACCTTGCACACTCTTCTTCTTCTTCTTCTTGGGGGTTGAGTTAGGGTTCTGTGAAGTTGTTCCAACATTTTCATCTTGTGCAACAACTGGGATCGGAGTGTCTAATAAGGGTTTAGAGCATAAATCCCCATTCAAATTAGCATCAATTTGTCCTGCTCCTTCCTTAGTAACATCTGCTTCCACACCTACCGGGATTGAAGGATCACATGCTTGTTCACCTTGCACACTCTTCTTCTTCTTCTTCTTGGGGGTTGGGTCAGGGTTATGTGTAGTTGTTCCAGCATTTTCATCTTGTGCAACAAGTGGGATCGGAGTGTCTAATAAGGGTTTAGAGCATAAATCCCCGTTCAAATTAGCATCAATTTGTCCTGCTCCTTCCATAGTAACATATGCTTCCACACCTACCGGGACTGAAGGATCACATGCTTGTGGAGAAGATGTGGCCATTCAGCAAGAAAGGGGCTTCTGGGTTTTCATCATCATCCACTGCACAACAAGTTACTGAAGGCATTGATGGAACTTCTCTCACTGCTATTGTCACAGGTCCCTCCTTTTTCTTCTATAATTCCCACATACTGTATTTTTTTTCTTCCATCTAGTTCAATGATGGACTGAACAAATTGAAAAATGTTTCATTTATAATATAGTTCAATTGGCTTCTGTTGTAACCAGCCAGAGGAGTTTTTTTCGCTTATATATTTGTTCGTCTTGTTAATGAGTTTTTGAGCGTGTCCTATTGGTGAGTACACGTTTTGTTTGCCACGTGTTGCAAAGAACCATGGATTTAAATCGCGGTCGCTGAGGTTTTTAAAACCTTGTATAGAACTATTTGGAACTACTACCCTGTAGCCTTGCATCGGATATTGACTTGCGGAGTGATTTACAAGCTTTTTCGATTAGCCCAACAAGACTGAATCCCTAGAACTAGGGTGTTCAAAACCTAATCAAAACATTTTAGACTGCCAAATTGATAAAATATATATAAAAACCAAAATAATCAAACCGAAAACCAAAATAAAATGCATACTTTTTTAGCTGTTTGGTTCGGTCTTCAGTTCTTGTTGTGAAAACCTAACCGAACACCGCAGATTATATTTATATCTATTTATTTAATGGATATATATATATATATATATATATATATATATATATATAGAATCCGTTGACATCAAACACTTACATCAAATCTTATACATTTAATAAATTTTCTGTAAATGAAAATTTAACCGATATAACTGTGAGACCCCATTCCTTCCGCAAGTCCCTTTCACCCTTATTCTCTTTTTCTTTGACTTCCCATTTGCTGTTGTTGCCGCTTCGCGGTGCTGTTATAGCCACTTGAGTGGTGCTGTTGTTGCTGCTAAGCAGTGCTGATATGGCCGCATTGCGGTGCTGATATTGTTGAGTGGTATAAGCTGTACAAGTGTGCTGATAACTGTATTTGTTGTTTATTATATTGCTATATATTTGTATGTTGAATTTTAATTACACTAGCTTACCCTTTTGTTGTCTCCATGATGTTGGACTGCAATGATCATACTATGTATGGGAGCAGAGCAGGGATAGGTGGGTGTCTG